GTTATGCTGTGCAGACTTTATTCTTAAAATGAAGCTGATGTTTCGGCACAAGTGTGCATTCTTCAGAGTGTAGAATACAAAACTGGTATCATCAAACAACCAGGGCAACCGGATCTTTAAATATGATAAGACCAGAACGGTGTACAACTAAAATAACCAATTATTAACTTCAGGTTTAGTAAAAACCCTTTCCTGGAACTTTCAATCACACCTGACAGTTGCTCAGTAAATGGAGTTTGTTCAGACTTGAACTTGTTTTTTTCCAACATTTTTACTGTTTGAAGATTTCAGCCTTAATAAAATCAGTATATGACACACAAGTGATTCAGGAAATGCCATTAACTTCATTTCCATTGGCTTTTTACACACAGTTACAAAGCAGCACATTTTCAAGCCTACACCTACCACTGTCTTATTACTAATTTGGCTGCCACTACTGCTACATTTCTACCATATATGATTTCTGCTATTTTTTCTATTAACTTCATTTCCATTGGCTTTTTACACACAGTAGAGAAACAGTGAAAAGTGACACAATACAATGATTTCCTCTTATAAAATTGTTCAAGGATGAAAAGTAAACTACTAAATTTTAGGAGTGCCTCTAAAATACTATCAGTCTTTGGAAATTAGTAGATCTACTATAAAACTGCAGCCTGTAAAACCTGTGTCAAATCACATACAAATCCAAGTAATCTGCTGTGGTGACCCCAAAATGACAGGGAGCATCCAAAAGAGGCACAGCAACGACAACGTAAAACTGCAGCCTGACTAATTTCCATCACCAGACACCTTAACTCCATCCCTGCAAAAATAAACAAATAAATAAAATAAATCAATTTAAAATGGAAGAAGAATTCACATTCCAATATTAGTATGTAGGCCTAGTAAGATGCTGGTAAAGTCAGACTGTCTAATGCTAAAGAGCTAAAACCTGAAGAGAGAGAGGGGTGGCTGGGTAGTAACACAGCTCATGCTGCCAGCCTACAAACAGCTTGTTGTCCACCAATCAACTCCCAGGACAGAGGGAAGCCACTACAACAGTTGTCCCTTTATAGCTGGCCTGAGAAGAGCTGATTTCACTGGATCACTAGCTCACTTACCGTCTTCCTCATTTCCTCCCTGTGTTTATTTCTTCTCACAGGGTGCACACCATAAGTAGCCTCTACTGAGGCACACCTGTGGTCTGCCAAATGGGACATGATGGAAAAAAAAAAAAAAAAAAAAAAAAAAAAAAAAAATATCTAATAGATTAAGTATTGGTACCAGTCGACAAAGCCATCTCCAGTTGATGAGTAATTGCTAACTGGTCTATTTTCTTTTGGTCTTCAAGTTAAAATAAATGAACTAAACACTAACAATTACAACCTCAAGTAGCTCTGGCTATGCCATGCTGTCTTTAGCTCCTTTTACACTGCCAATTCAAGGTGGGATTATTGTGCCAATTTTCCACCACACCATTCTCCAAGTCACCGTGGGTGTTCAGAGTAGAAACACCTTGGAGAAGGGAAATGAGCGTATTCAGCATATCCAACCTGCAGTAAAACACAGCAAATACAAAATACACACACTTCAAAAAGAACTATGCAGTCAGCAGGACAGACTTTCTACTGTTCCTATTACTTGTTGCATCAGTTTATAGTAGGAGACTAGATTTTCACTTTTAGTTGGAGGTTGGTAAAAAAAAAAAAGCCTAGCAATAAGTTTAAGCTTCTCCCATCAGTTAATAATAATCACTTTTATTGGCCAAGTAAGTTACACACACAAGGAATTTGTTTCCGGTACAGAACCGAGGCAGCCATCTGCAGCATCAACTCAACCGATGGCTCTAACTATTGGGGGAAACTTGGGGGTTCAGTGTCTTGCCCAAGGACACTGACGTGTGGACTGCAGGCACCAAGATTCGAACCTCCGACCCTCTGGTTGGGAGACGTCTGCTCTACCCACTGTGCTTGTTGTTACTGTGCGTTTGAAGTCTGGCAGCTTGCACTGTTTACAATACCTCTTATTTATGATTCCTCATTGAAATGTTTTCCCCGTGCACTTTTGTTAGCTTCCTGTTCAGATGGATGCATATCGCAGAAACAGTTGGTAAACAGCTGTGCACTGCACTTGAACAGAGATGGGTAAACAAACTGGGCTCACATAACATTAGGCAAAACCAGCCATACTGTTATGTCAGTCTTTTCTCTTGTAAAAGTAGACCACAATGTTTGAAAACACTTCTAATAAAATACAAATCTCACCTTTATGTGACTTGTCCTAGTGGGTGGTGTTGTCCTTTTTTTCTCATTCTGCAATTTGCTAAATAGATCCAAAGTACATCCATGCATCCATTGAAGTGACAAAAAATAAAATAAAACAAAAACAAAGGCTCAACTAGAGAGTGTAAGTCGACTGACAAGTCTCACGACTAATGACTCTACTATTTGTGGGCGGCCCTAATATTCAGCACCTTTGGAAATATTTGGATCTATTCAAATTAAACTGTGTAGGCTCAAACTACGTTTTCCTGCATAGCACGTATAATGACTGACTGAAAACTGATTGAAAATCTCCTATTACTAAAATGTCCTGTTTTCATCAGTTGGCAGAACAGTTCTGTCTTGTCCAAGACTGTACTCATCCTCTAAAAAAGATGGAGCTACGCTGACAACTTGGCACTACTGTTGTGTCTTCTAATAAAGAAACTATTTGATTACACCTCAGCCGTTTTCCAACATGCATTCCTTTCCATTATTCTGACAGCATCTGAACATGTAAGCTTTATGTCTAAATAAGCACCAGGGTCACTTTTCTGTAAGAATCACAACAACAACCTCACACAAGTCTGAACCGCATGCAGTCACACTAACAGATAGGCACATACATCTCATGCATGGTCATCTTATGACCATCATTCATGTGCATGGCAAATTTCACACCCTCTCCATTACCATCATGGATATATCTGAATGAAGCTGTCAGAAACACTGACATAAAAGTGACCTCTGTCTGAACGAGAGAAAGCCATCACTTGAGTGATGAAGCCAGCAATGTTATATATCCTGTGTCTGAAAAGGGCTTTTGCTGTGACACAGCTGAAGGCAAGCCATTTGCATTACACATCAAAATCTGGAATCATTACGCAGGTGAACATAAACAGTGTTTTGGGAAAATTGTGAAGAGTTTACACCAGCCTTTCAAACTAAAATAAATTACTTTCAAATTAAGTCAAATTATTGTGACTGAGCTTTTATTCTAACAGCAGAATGAAAGTCTGCATGTAAAACATGCTGACAGAACTCAGAGTGCCTAAGGCTTAGACTTCACAATATTATAGGGAAAACCCAACAAATGCTCCTTAAGCAGACATTCACTCATTGGTTTACGGGTAAAACGGGGACTGTGGTGAAAATGTCACATTTCTGCAAGTTTGAGTTCTGCTTGTTCAACAGCTATTTGACAAACTGCTCATACAGTTTCTGTTACTGGAGGAGCACAGCCCCTTGAGATCAACACAGAGATAAATACAGTGAAGCAAAGTAGGATGGCCTGTGTAAACTTTTGGGGTTATGCCCTGTGATGGCAAAGGGAAGCATGTGACGTACCGCTCATTAGATTCCGACAGTGGAAACGCAGCTATAATGTGCAGCTGGAACACTTGCATCATCGCCAGCAGACTGCTGTGCTCTGAACGAGATGGAGCTGCCTGCTAATATAGCTAGTCTGGTCAGTTAAGGAGCACTCAACCATAGACATACATATACTGTACAGTATGTCAATGCCCACAACTCCTAGAACATCAGAACAGATTCTAAATTGGCATTATCTGGACATCCACACCACATATTCTCAGTCTAAGTTGTTACTTAATAAAATGACTTAATACAATCCTACGGGTATAAATGATAACAGGTTTGAGTCAAACCTCTGCCATTAGGTTCTTACCCGGCTGTCGCTGCACAGAGTAGATCTTTCCACACCTCTGGGCTGTGGCCTCGCTGAGCTCCTTCATACCCTGTCAAGCACAGCGGGGTGTACTGAAGGGCAGCACTGGGTTTCCATTCACAATGAATGGGCAGCTGTCTTTGGCCCAGGGATTTGTCTTCTTATGTGCACAGAGTGCTCAGCATTGCAGTCATGAACACTGCCCACATGGGGGCTCACATAAGAGTCAAGAAGCCTTTGCAGCACTCACAATGGTTAATAATCTTTAAAAATGTTCCTGTATCCAAACTTATGATAAAGATTAGCACCAAAATCTAGTGGCCCATATCCTACCTCTCCAAAACATTTCGTCCAAATCTGTTCATTGCTTTTTGAGTTATGCTGTTAACAAACACACAAACCAAAAGCCCCAGCAAAAACATGACCCCCACCCTTGGTGGAGGTAATAATGACACTAGTACTTGTTGGGATTCCTGTAACACAGGACTTCATGCTTACTGGTGGGTGCAGTTAACAAGAACACACAGGGGTCTCTGGAGAATAACTCCACAGAAGTGCATAAGGTTGCTGTGAAGCATCAAAACACAAACAAACAAACACACACACACACACACACACAGTATGCTCTGTGACACTGACTGGTTAGGAAACACACCAACCTTTAGCCAATGGGTTCCACATTGCTGGACAATTCTATAACTTTATAAGCCACAATGATCAAAATACACTGTGCAAATGTTTTTCCAAAAGGTCCTGAGACTGTGAATGGAGTTGTAGTTTGAGTAATTTGTATTTTAAAAAAAGCACCCCTACTTTAATCCCCAAAAGGTTCAGTGACTGTCAGTCTTGGTTTAAAACATATACATGGTGATAAACCGTGATCTATACTTTAAAATAACCAATATATTTTATAATACATCATATATAATACATTTTCCAGCAATAGGTAATAGGGCTAATGCCCTTTAGCCCTGCTGTAATTAGCTCCCAAGCTTATTGTGGAAATACATGGACTAATTCACAGTAGTCCGAATGAATGGAACTGTATGTGTTTACGTGTGTCCTCCAACCTTTAATCTTGACAGTAGGAGAGTTGGGTCCGGCTGACTGCTTTCTCCATCCCCTCCAATTCTGACAGAGACTCTCGGCCTCTGAGATGAAGGAGCACAGAGAGTCTTCCTCGAACCGGTCCGAGTCTTCGAATGAGAACCTCTCTCCATCCTCCCACTCGGCGAACATCAGTTCCATTACATCCACGTCTTTGCGGCTTCGGAGTCCAGAGGATTGCTTCTTGAGGCCACGGCCTCTCTTCTGTTTAAAAATCTAATGGAAATCCGGGGAACAGTGTGCAACTCTCGAGGAGAATCGAGAGTCGAGAAACAAGAGTCTCAAGACTGGGGGAGGGGAGGCCACTAGCAACCAAAACACAGCTGAGAGGCTTACCGCTGGGCCCTCAAACACAGCTACACAATACCAGCTCTGACAAGGCGGTGCTTTCCTTTGGATAGGCTGTAGGATAATATACACAGCTAAAGTACAAATACAGCCTTTAGTCTATGTAACATCTGTTTTACACGTGTTTCTTATAAACACAGATCAAACTACAAGTTCTCTAGATCGATGTAACAATCTACTCTATGCTGTCCGGCTGACTTTGGCTCCCTTTGCAGCCCCTAACTTTGAACAGGCGCTCCACTCGTCTATTTGACTGTATAGCTGCCCACTGCTGCCGCTGAGAGGCCAAACTCACCAACTAATTATTGTCACTATACAAACTACACTGTCAAAGAGACGAAGGGTACAGAATGTAACAGTGAGCATTTACACTCACAATGCAGCTAGGAACGCGAGCAACCCATATATAACATTGCCATAAGGACTGCTCTGCGTAGCGATGTGATTAATTTAATCTATAGGAAGTTATGAAGTTTTCTTTCATCTCGACGTCCTACTCTTTTCAGCCAATCAGATGGGCTACACCGAATATCTAGATTATCTATTGTAGCATCACACGAATCCCAGAAGTGTTTAATCTCTCACAGCAACATTTTTTTAAACAAAGAAATACCAAACACTTAGCGTTATTACCAAATGTCTCCATTGTCTTGCCTTTAGCGTGCGAGTTGCAATGTTATTATGCTGAGCTTCTAATGCAAATAACATTTAGCCGACGTTAGCTGAACGGCTAACCGTGCTAATAACTGCAGACCGAGCTAACACAAACAGCCGTCATTTGCTACAGCCAACAATAACGAGGTCAAGTTTGGATTTAAACACGACGACAGGCGTGTGTACACTTCGGTTTACCTCCCTCTTCTATCTTGTGCTCCTACTACCTTGGGCTAGCTAACGTTATATGTATTAGCACTAGAAAGCTAACTCCAATCGGCTAACTTCAGCTATCTTAAATAACGGTTTGTTTACATTTACTGGTGATGCTAACGTTACACACTCTCCGTACGCCAAGAGCTACATGCTTACTTATATCGCTTATCTCCTGGACTTTAGCATTTTCCCATGTTACACGGCGTTCATATTTCGATATTAACCCCCAGTCCTAGCTCAGTGTTTTCCGTTCTTTGTATTATTAACCTTACAACATTGGGTTTAAGGTTAAACGCTGATATAGCGTTAGTCCTCCGTCAACTCTGAAGCAGAATTTGTATTAACGAGTCCCTCAGAAATCTTCCTTTGCAACTGACATAGGCGTTCCTGGCGTATTTCAATCGTCCGTGCCTCCAAATGTCACCCGGATCCCTAAACGCTTTCCCGTGTTCCCCTTGTCCAGGCTCCGAGTGTATTAATCTGCCGGGGGAAGATGGCTCAGCTCTCTCACGGCTCCTCCTCCATCAGCTGATCCCAGTTTCCGGCTGCCAAAGCTACAGTGGCAGCACTTCAAATGCTTTTCAGCTCAAGGAAAATACTGTAGTCAGGCAAAGTGTTAGCCAACCCAAAAATACCCAAGCATACTGTCACATGAACTCAATGATCGTTAAAACAAAGATTTCTGAAACACCAGATTAATGTGAACCAAGTGTTGAACACGTTTCCGTTGTGAAGCTTTCAACACGGCGACATCTACTGGCCAACGCCGTGATGTTCCATTTGTATGGGTGAAGTCTACTTGATGGATGGATGGATAGATGGATAGATAGATAGATAGATACAGACATGAGACATCCTTTCTTCTGATCCTTCATCTAAAGCACCCAATCACCAACTGATTTTCAATAAATGGGCGTCTGTCAGATTTTCCTCAATAGTCTTACATTTAAAACATTTATGTTTGGTTGATGCTATAAATATATGGACAGGGCTCAATACACAAAATAGCTTTCCCAATTTTAACTGTTTTATTCATTTAGAGTTGTCACAGTTATAATCATGTCATTCACGGGCAGTATGGTGGCGCGGTGGTTAGCGCTGTTGCATCACAGCGAGAAGGTTACGGGTTCGGGGCCTTTCTGTGCAAAGGTTGCATGTTCTCCCCGGGAACAGATACAATATCTGTAAGACTGAATTCATTTACTTGTTTATATGTAGATAAACATTCCAAACATTTGTATGTAATTGCACTGAAACAGTATTTTATACAAATCAACTTTCTTTAAAAACAACAACAACAGTTTATTGGTTTATGAACATGCAGATAAGACAGACACATATTACACACAGAGCCAAATACAACATTGGCAACAACAAAACTAAAAACACACAAACAAAAACAGAGCATACCAAAATCATTTACTAGACAAACCATAGCATAGTTGCTATACAGAGCACAATACTGTGATGGGTTCATAAATACTCATAAATGAGAAAGGTCTGTCAGGCTGTCGAATTTTCCCTGGGGAATTAATGATGCACATACCTGAGCTTCTCTGGTTTAAAGAGCCCATGGCATACTCATTTCCAGCCATTTGATGTTTAATCAGGGGTATCTCTACATTAGCTTTGCACTCATCATAAGGTCAAAGCTCAAAGTGTTTATTTGTCATATGCACAGTCAGGAAACGTGTTTCTCTGTACAATGAAATTCTTACTTTGCCGTCCACATGAATGCCACAAAATACATAAGAATATAATAAGAGAATGTATGCTGCATGGGAGCAGCATGTGCAGCAGTCAACAGTCAATGTGCAATTATGCATGTGCAAACTGAGAATGTAAACAGTACAGGTCGACAGTACATCACGTATTTCCTGGTAATAAACTCCTCAATTGTTTAGGAGTCTGATGGCAGAGAGAAAGAAAGAGTTTTTCAATCTAGAGGTCCTGCATTTCATACTTCTGAACCTCCGGCCAGAGGGTAGGGTGGTGAACAGTCTGTGCAGGGGGTGGGTGAGATCTTTGAGGATGGAGGCAGCTTTCCAATGCACCCTGTGGTGGTAGATGCTCTGCAGAGAGGGCAGTGGAGTCCTGGTGATCTTCTCCACAGTCTTTACCACTCTCTGTTGGCACTTGCGGTCCATAGCAGTAGTGCTGCCATACCAGACAGTGATGCAGCTGGTCAAGATGCTCTCAATGATGCAGCTGTAGAAGTTGCTGAGGATCCTAGGCGACATGCCAAACCTCCTCAGCCTCCTCAGGAAGTACATCCGCTGCCGTCATAACTCCAAATAGTCTAATTATCTCAGAAATATAAAACCAAAGAACCTTTTCCTAAAAATGAGAGGATAGTTCATGAATGTGTACAACTCCTGTTGCCACTATTGTTGCAAGTGGACAGCAGGACAAACTGCAATGGCATAAATTAATTTGAATTTCAACTCCATAGACAGTTAAACAACGGTATATGTACCAATAAAAAAAGATGTGTAACACTCTAAACTTCTTCTTCTTTCGGCTGTTCCCGTTAGGGGTCCCCACAGCGAATCATCTGTTTCCATCTAACTCTATCCTCAGCATCCTCTACTCTCACACCAATTAACTCCATGTCCTCTTTTAGCACATCCATATATCTCCTCTTTGGCCTTCCTCTTGACCTCTTGCCTGGCAGCTCCATCTCCAACATCCTTCTACAAATATAACCACTATCCCTCTTCTGCACATGTCCAAACCATCTCAATCTGGCCTCTCTGACCTTGTCCCCAAAACAGCCGACCTCAGCTGTCCCTTTGATGTGCTCATTCCTAATCTTGTCCATCCTGGTCACTCCTAAAGAGAACCTCAACATCCTCATCTCTGCTACCTCCATCTCCAAATGTCGCCTTCTCCCTTCCAAGGCCTACTCCAGTTTTGAGTTACAAACCTTTATTGTAACACTTTGCTGTCCTATTTTATGTGCAGTCATATATCGTCCTCCTAAATCCAAGGATTTTATAAACAAATTCGGGGAACTCTTAGCAGCGCTTATTCCACAGTCTGACAGTTTGCTGATTTGTGGAGATTTTAACATTCACGTCATCTCCCTCTCTGACCAGCTGGTGAATGATTTTAACTCATTGTTGGACTCCTTTGATCTTACCCAGTCAGTACTATTCCCCACTCATCAATGTGGGGGCACACTGGACCTCGTCATCTCACGAGGCCTGTCTGTCTGCATTGGGGATGTATCAAAGTCGGCCATCTCTGACCACTCCTTCATCCATTTTGAAGTCCTGGCACCGTCAAGTGCATCCCGACCCATGGCCCTACGCCAGTGCTGCAGGATTATTACTCCCTTAACGGCTCCCAACTTTGCTGCTGCTTTCTTGCCCTCCGATTTTTACTCAGCAGAAGCTCGTAACCCTACTACGTGTCCCGACATCTTTCTCTCTTCGTTTGACTCTACGTGCTCTCGGATTTTGAATTCCATCGCTTCCTTTAGAGGGATGAGAGCTAGAAATACTCCTGACGCATGGTTAAATGACACTACCCGTGCCTTGCGGAGACGCTGTAGACAGGCGGAGCGTAAAAAGAGGAAGGATGGCCTGCACGTTTCTCTGGACATTTTAAGGGACAGCCTGGTCTCTTATCAGAAAGCTGTAAAAGATGCTAAAACCCAATATTTATCTAATATTATTTTGAAAAACAGTCACTGTCCCAGAGTTCTTTTCAATACCATCAATTTGGTTATTAATCCTATTGCTGCTCTGGCCACTGAGGCGTCGGTTCAAACCTGTAATGAGTTTCAGAATTACTTCATTGACAAAGTTTGGGATATTAGACAAAGTATCTCCAAGTATTCATTTTCCGTAGCATCTGTTTCTCATGTATTGTATACTCTGGAAACCTTCATTCCAATCTCTCTGCCTCAACTTAAAAAATGTGTGTTGCAGTTAAAGTCCGCTTCCTCCCCCCTGGATCCTGTCCCAGCCTGGATAATTAAGGAGGTTATTGACACTATTGGTCCCTCTCTGGTCACTTTTATAAATTGCTGCCTAAGGCTGGGCATGGTCCCCACCGCCCTTAAGCATGTTATAGTGAGCCTCAAGAAGCCTAACATTGATCCCTCTCTTCCGTCTAATTTTTGCATTCTGTATTTCCAATTTCCCTTTTGCCTTTTCTATCTAAGATTATGGGAAAAAAATCGTCCTTACCCAGTTGCAGTCCTATCTAGATCGTCTGGATGTTGTTGATAAGTTTCAGTCAGGCTTTAGGCCTCATCACAGCACTGAATCGGCACTACTGAAGGTCCATAATGATATTACTATGGCCCTTGATGCCAAGCGCCCCGTAATTCTAGGTCTTCTAGATTTATCGGCAGCCTTTGACACCGTTGACCATGCAGTTTTGCTCTCCCCGTTGGAACACCGTGTTGGCCTGAGAGGCACGGTTCTAAAGTGGTTTACTTCTTTCCTGACCAATAGGACCTTTTCTGTTCATGATTGGCGATTTCTCCTCCACCATAGCCGCCTCACCTCAGGCGTTCCTCAAGGCTCGATTCTGGCCCCGCTACCTTTTTCTCTATATATGTAAACACTTGGTTCAATCATATCAAGGCATAATGTTCATTTTCATTTTGATGCGGATGACATTCAGATCTATGTGCCGCTGATACTAGATGATTCTAAGGCACTTACCCCACTGCATAATTGTATCCGTGATGTTAAACTGTGGCTATCACAGAATTTCCTACACTTAAATGAGAGTAAGATGGAGTACATGATCTTTAGCCCCGATTCAGCTGCTGTTGTATCCAGTCTAGGTGTTTCAGCATTAGCACCTTCATTCACTGATACCGTGAAAAATCTTGGAGTGATATTTGACAGTGGCTTTAATTTTGATAAGCAGATCAGATCCGTGGTTAAAACCAACTTTTTTCACCTGAGACTCTTAATAAAGGTGAAGCCCTTCTCATCGCGCCCAGATTTAGGTCATTAAATCAAACCGGCAGTCGCTGTGTCTTCCCCCACACAACCACATACAGTCCCAAAGTGATGAAATTAATTCCAACAGGTAGTGTAGCACTGACAATAATATCATGGATCCGTTAATTCGGCAGACACACTGGCCTTAATCAGTCAAAACAAACAGGTACTGCGCTCCAGGGCAATCCAGCGTTGATGAGCTGATCATTCACCACTATGGGGGTCTGCTTATAGGTTAGACCCGGTCAGGTAAAGCAGCGAGTCCCTGCACAGGAACATTCCTGGACATGCAGTAACCTCAGGTCCTGTATTTTTCTTCACATCCTCTGGTCAAAGTGCAGCAGCAGGAGGGAAAATATATCCACAAAACCGTGTGGAGCTGAAAAATTCCGCTTTTACAATGGCACGGTGGATGTTTTTTTTCTTTTAAATACGCTTTATTGAAAATGAAAATAACAAACAACATTTTGCCAATATGGTGGGGGTACCGGTGGATATCAGACAGCCTCACAGGAACATGCAGCTGCCTGGAGATCATGGCCATTCAAGGAAATCCTTAAACTATCATGTAATACTTAATTTTGTTAGCAAGAGTTTGTGAGATGTGTATTAATGTTGCTTCTGCATAGAAATACTAGAACATATGTACACCAATTTTTTTTTTAGCTTTTGATCACGTCTAAGATGATCAAGAAGGTGCAGGAGTTTA